TACTGGATTGTCGGGATTCGAGGTCATGGGTACAGGGGGTCTTGTCCGTAGTTCAAGTAAAATGGTGACTGCTGGGTCGTGGCGGACGGCGAGTTGTTGTATGCGAACTCGATGAGTGGCAGTTGCTGTTCTCACGTGGGCGGGTCGTCGCATGTGGCTCGGATGAGCTGTTTCATGTGATTTTTCCGTTCTGTCTGTCCGTCGGTTTCGGGGTGGTACGATGAACTGAACTGTAGTCGCACGCTGAACTGCTGCCACAGGTTCCGCCAGAAGTTGCTGGTGAATTTCGTGTCGCGGTCGCTGATGGTCGATGCTGGTGTCCCGTGCAGACGAACAACGGTGGAGATGAATGACGAGAAGTGAGAATGGATGAATGAACTATGAAAGAGTTGGGTACAAGTACTAACCCTAATTGGGTTGTACCCCATGTGGGCTACCCCACTACAGCCTACACAAATGTATAAGCTATAATGTTCTGACACACCCCCATAGGCAAAGTGGGGGAGAACAAGTGGTCACAAGACCAGTCAAGCAAAGCAAAGCAAGCTCAGGGTGGATCACAAAGTCACCACACAGTCCGAGCACAAGAGTAGGGCAACAAGGCCAGTTCACATGCAAGAACATATATATAAAGGTAAAACAAGGAAGGGCAGGTAGAGAAAGAATACTGTACAAACAAGATCAAGAAGTGAGCAAGTGAGGCCAGGTAGGCACAAGACCTAGCACAGTACAAAAACGCTGATGATCACAAGGCGGAAGGGCCTTGGTGAAGATATCAGCAGTGTTGGCCTCAGAGGAGTGGCCTAAGGCGAGGAGTACGTGAAGCCGTAGCGCGGAAGGACCTGCTGCACCATGTGTGACTGAGTCAGGGTAATGGTGCGCTGTGCTCTGTCCCGGGTGATTTGCAAGCCAAGGTAGCTGCGCAGTTCACCCAGGTCTGTGCACGTGTGTCTCTTCTGCAGCTCGGACTTCACGTGGGCGAGTCCAGCAGTGTGAGCAGTGGCAAAGACCAAGTCGTCGATGCACACGAGGATGTAGAACGGCGGCAAAGAGGTGTCGGTGCGTAGAAACAGCGATGGGTCGGCTGTAGAAGGAGCAAACCCAAGAGCCGCAAGTGTAGTCCTCAGTGTGTCGTGCCACTCACGGGGCACCTGGCGGAGACCGTAGACTGACCGCCGGAGGTTCCACTGGGTACCAGGAGGAAACGACCCAGTGAAGCTAGGAGGGCGGCGCAACCAGATCTCCTCGTGCAGGTTGCCCTGCAGGAAAGCTGTGCTGAAGTCGAGAGAGTGAAGCTCGTAGTCGCGCTGAGCGGCTATGTGCAACAGCACCCGAAGAGTGGTCATCTTCAGGGTGGGAGAGAAGGTCTGAAAGTAGTCAACTCCCTGCCGCTGATTGAAGCCTCGAGCCACGTAACGCGCCTTGAAGACAGGCGGAGAACCCGGCGGCCGCTTCACCCTGAAAATCCACATGCCACTGACGATGTTTGCCCCAGGTGGGGGAACCTCGTTGACGTAGGTGCCGGTGGACTTCCAGGAAGCCATCTCTGCGTCCATGGCCGACTGCCACTGAGAGGAGTAGGGACCCTCGATCGCCTCAGCGTACGATCGAGGAGTCGGGATGTCTGGTGCATCCGGGTCTCCCTCAGGGGCAATCAGCGTGGACACGAGATGGGTCAAAGCAGCCTCAGTAATTTCTGAAAGTCGCTCGGCTTCTCTGCTTCTCCTACCCATGCTATATCCACCACATCCACGTCAGCTCCAGCAGCGAGAGCCCATTTCATCGTGACGGCGTTGACGTGGACCGTTGAAGACTCAGGCGACTACCAGTGAGGTAGCTCGATCCAGTTAGCGCTACTTCGCACAATGCAGCTACCCGTCGTCCAGTTGATTCGCGGGTTAACGCCGTCGCAGCCAATCACGCCCCAGAAATATATGATGCCCGTCCAGTGTTGTCGCAAACATTTCTTGTGTAAACCCGAAGTTTCCCCCGCAGCGGACTTTTACACTCTCCACTTTCTCGTGTATGGCCAGCGGCTCGTCGGCGACTAAGTGTGCTTCATCTCCGGTAAACACCGACAAAGTGTCAGTTGCAACTTGCGTGCGGTCGCGGTATTGACTAAGTTGTGAGTTGCATATCCGTCTTTAGAAATCTTCACTGCTGCTCGTATTTTCCCGTGAATCAGTACTGGGCAATCCTTCGCTGTACCCTCCTTATTCATCCAAGCCCGATCGATAGCTCGAATTGGTACTGTGACTCGGTGAGGGTCAGTGAGGTTGGGCAAGCAGGTTGTATGAGAATTATATTTTTATACCTGCATGTAGTTCTAGCTGTAGTGTAGATATGAACTTTATAGGTGGTGCACCTCTTTCTTCACTTGTTTGCTATATGTACTCTCTTGCTATAGTGAACACACATTCCCAATTCTCTCGACACTCTCCCTTGGCACAAACCACTCGACTTCCCCTTAGCCTAGGCTACTAAGCCTAGGCCCCACTTAACTCTTAACTACCTCTTAAGCTCGGATTATAACAGGTTGTCTCGTCAGTAGTTGGCCGGATTTCTACTGACTACTGGCGTTTCCCTGCCGCTTAGACTCCCTACCTTGCTCTGCTCCGCGGCGTCTTAGCTCCTCTGGGCATTTGCTCTTCCGATGGCCCGGCCTGTTGCAAGCAAAGCAACGCCCCCTGAATGGCGCAGCAACTGCATTCGCCGCAACGCTGTGTATGGTGGGGTGCTCGATCGGTCCCCGAGGGAGATGTCTATAGTAGGACCCCGGTCTCGGTCGGTGTAGAATATCGATTTTCTCTGCGAGCGCGATGTTTTTGTTGAAATTTGATAGCCCGCGTAGCATAATTTTGTGCGAAATGTCCAGCTTTAGCCCTCGGACGTAACTGTCCACTCGCTCTGCCTCGTGCATGTAGTCGACTTGCTCGCACAGAGCGAGAAAAACGATGGTGTAGTCTTGGACCGACCCAAGCTGTCGCCAAGTACGTAGTTTCCGACGCGCCGAATAGAGCCTGCGATCGGCTCGAAGTGCGCACGAAGCCCTGTGCACCACGCATGCCACGTGCTATACTAGGCGGTTTTGCAGAACAAACTCCAGGTGACTGCTGGACCCGTGGGCTCTTCCTCTTGCAAAGACGGCTCGTAGGCGCATGGCGACGTCACGATGACTCACCACCAGTCCATGGCGAGGCGCTCAGCAGCGAAACAGCATAGCGAATCTTCGCTGCGTCCGACTCGACGTAATTCGCGTCGAAAAAAACGTTCATCGTGAAGACCAGCGATTGAACCGTCGAACCTCCTCGTTGGCTAAGATCAAAGCAGGGTGGGCACTGCAGTTTGAGCGGCAGCGGCTCGATGATGTCATTGTTGCCGATCGTTGCCGCAAATTTGATGTGACGACGGGCTTCGAGAGGCCCGCTCGTGCTTAGTGCAGCCCTGTTCCTCTCCATGCCGGGCATTGATTTGGCGGCACCATCAATGGCTGCGCCTGAGCACTGTCCCACACTGTCAATTTTTGCCGGTGTGCCTGAAGAGATGACTGTCAGGATGAGAAGTGATTGCACTAGGAAAAGTGTTGGGTAGAAGTAGGAAACCCTAAAGTTACTGTACCCCATAGTATCTACCCCACTACAGCCTAAACAAACTGTAGCAGATATGACATTTGACACACCCCCATAGGCAAAGTAGGGGAGAGCAAGAGGTCACAAGACCAATCAAGAAAGGCAAAGCAAGCTCAGGGTGGATCACAACGTCACCACACTCACTCAGCACAAGCAAGGGGCCACAAGGCCAATTCACATGCAGAGGCATATATGTAACACAAGCATCACAGTGATCTCTACCTAGCAAAACAAGTATGCAGGTATATATACAGATCACAGTATAGGCAAAGTCTACAGGAATTGAAGAAAAGTTTGCACAAGCCCTAGCAAAGTGCAAAAACGCTGATGATCACCAGACACAAGTGCCTTGGTGAATATATCAGCAGTGTTGGCCTGAGTGGCCACGTAACGCAGACGAAGTTGACCACGCTGCTGCAACTCTTGAGCCATGAAGTAACGCAGAGCGATGTGCTTTGTTCTGTGCTCCATTTTGTGCTCCTCACACAAGGCAATGGCAGCATTGTTGTCGACGTACAGCACTGGAGGAGAACGAGGCTGCTCTCCCAGGTCGGTCAGCAGGTAGGTGAGCCAGCGTAACTCTTGTGTAGCCATGGCTGTGGCGTAGATCTCAGCCTCAAAACTGGAGCTGAGAACCGAAGACGAACGCGTAGAACGCCACGAAACTGAACTAGAGCCAAGGCCGAAGGTGTAACCTTGTGACGACCGCTGAGTAGCCTGGTCGTCAACCCAAGAAGCGTCTGAGTGCCCAGTGAGAACAACTGAGCTCCTCCCTCCAAGCACGAGCCCCACGCCTGATGTACTGCACAAAAAGCGCAATACCCTCTTTGCAGCTTCTCAGTACACCTTTCTTTGCCTACCAGGAGCGACGTAGCGAGCCAGAAGGCCAAGAGGGTACGCGAGGTCAGGACGAGTGCAAGTCATCAGGTACATGAGGCAGCCAACTAGCTCTGGGTAAGGACCATTCCGCTCTACAGACTCGTCCGAAGGTGGAGCTGAGAGCGAGGGACCTGTAGCCAGAGGAGTCGCCTGTGCCGAGGACCAGGTGAAGCCGAAGCGCTAAAGGACCTGCTGCACCATGTGTGACTGAGTCAGTGTGATGGTGCGGCGTGCTCTGTCCCGAGTGATCTACAAGCCAAGGTAGCTGCGCAGTTCACCCAGGTCTGTGCACGTGTGTCTCTTCTGTAGCTCCGACTTCACGTGGGCGAGAGCCTCAGTGTCAGCAGTAGCAAAGACCAAGTCGTCGACGTACACGAGGATGTAGAACGGTGGCAGCGAAGTGTCGGTGCGCAGAAACAGCGCAGCGAGATCTCCTCATGTGGGCTGCCCTGCAAGAAAGCTGTGCTGAAGTCAAGAGAGTGAAGCTCGTAGTCACGCTGAGCGGCAACGTCTAGTAGCACCCGAAGAGTGGTCATCTTCGGAATGGGGGAGAAGGTCTGGAAGAAGTCTACTCCCTCTCGTTGACTGAAGCCTCGTGCAACGTAACGAGCCTTGAAGACAGGCGGAGAACCTGGCGACCGCTTCACCCTGAAAATCCACATGCCACTGATGATGTTCGCCCCAGGAGGGGGAACCTCGCCGATGTAAGTGCCAGTGGACTTCCAAGATGACTTCTCTGCGTCCATGGCTGACTGCCACAGAGAGGAGTACTCACCCGCGATCGCCTCAGCGTAAGAGCGCGGGGTCGGGATGTCTGGTGCATCCGGGTCTCCCTCAGGTGCAATCAACATGGACACAAGAGGAGGTACAGCAGCAGCAAAGCACTCAAACTCCTCCTGCCTGTCCTCAAGGACGTCCGTGCCAAGAGCACACTCACCCCCGACGGACGGAGGACAGACAGACTCAGACTCAGCAACAAGACTCACGGCGTAGTCTAGAGGGCAGCGAGCAGCAAAGTCGACAAGCTCAGCAACTAAGGCAGACGCATCAGCTGACTCAAAGGAAGGGTCAGAGACAGCCGTGGCCAGGAGACGCGTGACAGTAGGACTAGTAGCATGAAGAGAGTCAGACTCCGGGTCAGCAAGGGTAGGAAGAGAGGACGCAGGAGAAGGCAGAGGGACACTCTGTGGAGCGGTGGAAGGACGAAGCATCATCTGGTGAGTTCCTGGGACAGCAAGAGGACACTGACGCGGGACACGAGGACCAGTGCGAGCAGCACAAACAGGTGACGCAGAACGAGACTCAGGCCCACGACGCTTCGTAAGACCTCCTGTCGGACCAGTGTAGGGAGAAGGACCAGGGAGTGGCGAGGTAGGCTGTAACTGTTACTGCGATTGGACAGGGTGAGGACACTCTAAGGAGGGAGCGGGACAAGGAGGAGGGTCTAACCAAGCACCTGCTGAAGGAGCGGAACAAAATACAGTCGCGGCCGTGAAGCGCCCCCAGAACCAGCAGAGACAGCACCAGCACCCCTAGGGTCAGCTCCAGCAGCTCCAGCCGCCCCAGTAGCACCAACGCTAGCACCCACAGGAGCACCGGCTCCAGCAGCACCTCCAGCTCCAGCACCTGCAGCACCAGAACCCCCAGCAGCAGCTCAACTCCTATAGGACTACTAGCAGCTCCAATAATGCCAACTCCAGTACCACCAGTAGCACCAGCTCCAGCCGCATCGCCGGCTCCAGCACCTGCAGGACCAACCCCAGGGTCAGCAGCTACACCATCTCCAGTAGGCCCAGCGTCCTTAGCTCCACCGGCAGCTCTAGTAGCTCCAGCACCTCCAGCTCCAACTCCAGCACCAGCAGCACCTCCAGCAGCTCGAGCATCAGCAGCATCTCCAGTAGCACCAGCTCCAGCAGTTCCAGCTCCAGCAGAACCCCCAGTCCCAGCAGCTCCAGTACTGCCTGTATGAGCACCTCCAGGACCAGAGGCTCCAGTACCTCCAGCCGCACCAGGGCCTCCAGCGGGCGGCACCCCAGTGCTAGGAGCGCCGCTCCGGAGGCTGCAGCGCCGAGCGTACCACTCACGTAGTCGCTGTGGGGAGGGAGGCGCGGGCCGCGACACAGCACCCGCAGCACCACCAGCTCCAACTCCGGCAGAACCCCCAGCTCCAGCAGCCCCACACCGGAGGCTGCAACGCTGAGAGTACCACTCACGCAGCTGCTGTGAAGAGGGAGCGTCACCAGGCGCAGTACGGTCAGTCTCAGCTCCCCCAGGCTCAGCACCCCAAGGCTCAGCACCACCAGGCTCAACACCCCCAGTCTCAGCACCCCCAGACTCAGCACTACCAGGCTCAGCACCCCCAGTCTCAACACCCCTAGGCTCAGCACCCCCAGTCTCAGCACCCCCAGACGCAGTACCCCTCGGATGACCAGAGTCGATAGCTACCTTGACAGGCTCGACCAGGTCTACCTGGGAAACACCTGAGGGAGCAGGACCCTGGGGAGGGAGGGGGTCTGCCGAAGCAGCACCTAGCGTGAGGAAGAGCGGCGGGGGGGGAAGCGGTGCAGTGCGGTAGGGGAACAGATGGTAGAAGAGTACCGACTCGTCAAAAGTGACGTCCTGAGAGGGGAAGACACGGCGCGAGGTGGGGTGGTAAAACTGCCAGCCAGGCGCGTCAGGGACAAAGCCAAGAAAGACACAAGGAACGGCACAGGAGAGCTTGTCCGCGGACATATTGCGGACAAAGGCTCGACATCCCCAGACTCGGAACACGGGTGCATCGCCAACCTCCCGCGTCCAACGCAGTGTGGGCGAGGTCTCTGGAGCAGAGACACGGGGCCAGAGGTTGAGTTGATGCGCAGCGTACTGCACTGCAAACGGCCACAGGAAATGGGGGGCAGCCGCATGGATGATGGAGGTACGAGCGACCTCCATGACTAAGCCAATGCGACGCTCAGCAATCCCATTATGCTGTGGAGAGGCCGCAAGTGGGAACGTCTGGTGGATGCCGTGCTCCGCACAGTAGGCTACCAAGAGGTCGGAGGAAAACTCACCACCCCTATCAGAGTGCAGACGCAGGACTGGAAAGTCCGACTGGAACCGCTCGCGGAGCTGGAAACGAGTAGTGCAGATCCAAGGGATCAAAACATCAGGGACCTCACCCTTGGTGCACAAGGGGAAGACCGTGGTGTAGCACGTGTAGTCGTTGATGACCAGCAGGAAGTACCGCTCGTGGCCCTGTCCACGGACGCGGGCTGGGCCCCACACATCCAGGTGGAGAGTCTGCAGAGGAGCCTCTGTGGGAGGGAACGAGGAGGAGTGAGGAGTGGCGCGCTGCCGCCCCTCGACACAGGGAAGACATGGAGGAGCAGGCGAGGATGGGAGAGGAGGGAAAACCCTGGGAAGACCAGAGACAAGGTACTGGGAGTGCATGCCATGAAGGCGCTGCACTGAAGGGTTACCAAGGCGGTGGTGCCAGAGGACGGTCTGGTGCGACAGGGTGCAATACGAGCAGGGGGCCGACAGCTGACCTAACGCAGACGCAGACGCAGCTACCTGAGGGGACTCAGTGGTTAATGTGTATATGTCCGACCCCAGCTGCAGAGTGAAGGTAGTCAGGTGGTGACCCGTCCGAGCACACGTACAGTGGGTCACACGCTCATAGGCAGGGGTGAACTCGTGAACACCCCCGTCCTAAAGAGCAGAGCCCGACACCAAGTTCGTAGAGACCCGATAGGGTGCTGGCAGGAACTGTTGGACGAGGGAGGGCAGTGGAGGAGGTCGCAAGGACCGGGCCCCCAGAGGGGTCAGCGAGGGAGACATCAACAGGCCGAGCTAGCTGCTCAAGGACAGTGCGGTCACGAAAGAAGCAGCGGGAAGCACCCGAGTCTAGTGTGAAGGTGTGCAGTGCCTAAGTAGACGCAGTACCAGCAGGCGCAGACGCACGAGCACCTGGAGAAGCAGACTCACTAGCACCTAGAGCAGCAACCTCACTAGGACCTAGGGCAGCAGACACACTAGCACCTAGAGCAGCAAACTCACTGGTCCCAATACCCGGGCCGGGCGGTACACTCAGGTAGTAGTCACCCTCAACACTACTTGTCAATGCATACATAGCACCAATGATAGCATCAAAATCAAGAGCAAAGATATTAATGTTCTTTTTAAGCAGATCAGCCCAGCGGGGCAGCTCAGAGGCGTCAGGGAACTGCTCGCGCCAGGCGTCGTCGAGGCGAAAGAAGCAGCACTGCGCCGTGTGAAACCTCCCACAGGTCTGGCCAGTGCTGTCACCTGTGCGGATGACGTACGGGCAGGTACCTCCACCCCCAGACCCCCCCACGCTGAGAGTACCACTCACAGAGCTCTTGGGGTGACGGGGTCTCGCTGGGACGCTGCTGCTGCTGCTGCCTTTGGCCACCGCCGAACCCCCCACGCTGCACTGCTCCACCGCGCCCATCACCAGCTCCACTGCTGCCACCACTGCCACCACCACCCCCGCCACCCCCACCACCGCCGCCTCCACCACCCCTGACTCCGCCACTGACCCCCCCACCACTAGCACCACTCCCACCACCGCCACCACCCCCGCCCCCTCCACCCCCTCCACCACCGCCGCCCCCGCCGCCACCTCCGCCACCCCTGCCCCCCTTGCTCCTGCCACCCTTGCGCCTCCCACTAGGAGCAGACGCAGCCCCGACCCCCTCAACACCGAGGTAGTCGACAGGAGCAGCAGATGCAATGGAGGGGAGGAGGGGGACGGGGGAGCACCCCTCAAAGAAGGGGGCGCAAGGTCACCACGAGAGGCACCTACTGCTACAATGCTCTTCTCAGGTGCTAGGAGTTCCTTCTCGAGCAGGTCGACAGTGAGGTCGGTGGGGGAGAGGGCGAGAAAGTGGTCCCTGACAGTGAGAAGGGAGTTAGGGAGGCGGGTGACTAGGTGATAGAGTGTGAGGTATATCGGGGGAGGGTTCTTGGCTAGGAAATCGGGGGGAAGCGCGACACGGTAGCGAAGATCACTAGTACGGAGGTGCGTGATGAGGTCAGCTATAGTGACAAAAGTAGACAGATCGGGGAAGAGATAGGGCAGTGAGAGACGGCCTATCGCAGCACTGGCAGGGGAGGAGTAGCGTGCAACTACAGCATCGTACAGCTCCTTAGCGGTTTTATGCTGGCCAAAGTGCTCGCGCTCATCTAACGGTAGGTGGCTGCAAATGGCTAGGCAAGCATGAGCGTCACGGGTCTGCCACTGTGAGCGAGCAGTGCTGTCAGCAGTAATAGCAGGTGCGGGAGAGGCGCCGGACGTGTGGTAAAAAAGGGAAACATCGTCCTTGGCAGTGATCTGGAGGAACAGGTGCAGGTTATCAAGCCAGACGTCAAACTTAATCGGACGGCCCTCAGCGTCAAAAGTGAGAACGGTAGGACTGGCCATAGTGGCAGTAGCAGCAGTAGCAGTAGTAGCAGTAAGAGTAGTAGCAGTAGCAGCTACAGCAGTAAGAACAGCTGTAATAGTAGGAACAGGAACAGCAGTTGCTGCAGGTGGAGCGGCGCGGCTCGAGCAGGTAGGGCGGCGCGACGGCGGGCCTATGCACGGTACGCGGCGGCGCCTAGGGTGCAGCTGCGCGCGGGCTGCGGCTGCGTTCGTGCGGTGGCTAAGCGCGAGCTGCAGCAGCCGACGCGCGATCGCCGCTGCATGCTGGCTACGACCTGCGGGTGGGCGGCGGCGGGTCGAGCGTCGGCCTAGGGGCGAGCGGGGCCTACGGGCGACGGCCAACTGGCGCGCGCGAGAAATATCGGGCCGCCCTAGGCGGCTAGCGGGCTGCTCGCACTAAAAACGTGGGGCCGCGCTCGGGCTGCTAGCGGGCTGTAAAACGAGCAGCGTGAGAGGAGGGCGCGCGAGGGCACTCTAGGAGAGAGGCGCACGAGGGCGCTAAGACGGTGGGGCGCACGAGGGCGCCTCTAGCAAAACGGTGGGCCCTTAGGTAAGCGGTCCTAGGTCCCTAACCTAGGCTCTTAATACCATGTCATAATGAGAAGTGATTGCACTAGGAAAAGTGTTGGGTAGAAGTAGGAAACCCTAAAGTTACCGTACCCCATAGTATCTACCCCACTACAGCCTAAACAAACTGTAGCAGATATAACATTTGACAATGACAACGGCTCCTCCAATTGCACAGGTGCATTTGCAGGTGCTTGTATTGGTGCTGGCGCATTCATTGTCGATTGCTGGCGAGCGGAGTCGCGTTCCGCCATGAGTGCCGCAATTTCGAGCGCCGAATCTTCGAGTTGGCGCACGAAACGGTCGAGCTGCTCTTGCGTCAGTGTTGCGAGATTAAATTCAACCATGGCCGGGGTGTCGGGCAAGCTCAGCGACAGCCTCTATCGTGGCCGTGCGTGCTTACGAGAGAGCACTTCGAGTGGCGGTGCTTGTTCGCTGAGAGACGTCTACCCCCTCCAAGAAATGAGATAGTGAAGGAAGCGAAGGTGTGGGAGCAGTTCGAGAAGAGATTATAGGCTCTTATCAGATATATATGACATAGTGTTTGTAGGCTCTAGTGGGGTAGGCACTAAAGGGTACAAGTTTATAGGGTTTCATATTTCTATCACACACTTTCCTAGTTCATTCATTCCTCATTATTTCACATGGTATAGAGCAAGTTCCCTAATGGGAACGTTTCCTAGGACCCACCACTAAATCAAAACTTTTTTTTACCTGCCCGTAGCGCGCTTCGCGCCTGCCCTAGTTGCGCCCCGTGCGCCTCCCTGCCCTTAGCAGCCCGTCGCGCCCTCTTAAGGCCCCTTCGCGGCCCCTCTCACGGCCCTTCACGTCCCCTTCGCGGCTCCCTCGCGACCTCTCTGCGGACCTTCTGGCCCCTCTCACGGCCCCTCGCGGCCCCTTGCGGCCCCTCGCGGCCCCTCCGCCGCTCTTCGCGGCCCCTCGCGGCCCCTTCGCGACCCCTCGCCGCCCCTTCTCGGCCTCGTCGCCACCCTTCGCGGCCCCTTCACGGCCCCTCGTGGCCTCTTCTCGGCTCCTTCACGGCCCCTCGCGGCCCCTCGCGGCCCCTCGCGGCCCCTTCGCCGCCCTTAGCGGCACCTTCGCGGCCCCTCTGCGGCCCTTAACGGCCCCTCGCGGCTCCTTCACGGCCCCTCCGCGGCTCCTTCGCGGCTCGTCGCGGCCCCTTCGCGGCCCCTTCCCGGCTCTTCACGGCCCTGCCGCCCCACCGTCGCCGCCCCAGCAGGAGCTGCCGTCATGCCTGCTGCCGCTGCTGCTTCTTCTACGACCGGTCGCCACCATCGCTGCTGCCGTGAAAGCCGCCGCCGCTCCTGCTAGGACAACCGCCGCTGCCGTGACAGCCGCCGCTGCCGTCCTGGCCTTGCCCTGCAGCCGAGGCGCGGCACTCCTCTGCCGCCCTGACGCGGCCCTGTCCCTGCCGGCGCGCCTTGGCCCTGCCCCACCGCTTGCGGCCCTCTACCCACCCGGCCCTGGTAAGAGCACCGCCGAGCCGCACCTCTCCTGCTGAGCTGCTCCTAGCCTGCTGCTGCCACTGCTAGCTTGCTGCTGCTGCTGCTAGCCTCGAGGAGCACATCCTGGCAGCTGAGAAGAGTATATTTGCTGTAGGAGCCTCTCATGGTGACCCTTGTGCCCCCTTCTTTGAGGGGTGCTCCCCCTCCCCCCTTTTGCCCTCTGTTGCCTCTGCTCCTGCGGTCGACCTCGTTGGCACCGAGCCGGTCGGCGCTGCGTCTGCCCCTAGCGGGAGACGCCGCAACGGCAAGGGCAAGGGGG